ACTATTACCAACCAAACTAAATGCATAAAATACTCTGACTGTCACAGTCAACCAACCTACATATTTCTCCCTATTTCTCCCCCTCGACATTTCACATAGTACTCCCACAGTTTGAAACTGTAACAAAGAAACAGCTACATACATAAATACATATAGAGGAATATGATCTTGTGATTATCTCTTCTTTTACTGCAATCCCAAGAAATTGATAAAGATTGAAAAAAGGGGAGAGGTATGACTAACATGGTCAGCCTCCCATAATTGGCTTATTCAAGACAATCTACATACATGTCAAAAATCATGATCACATAAAAAGTTTGTATGGATGTGATCCAATTACAAACTCATCAAACTGGTGCCTCCTTATACTTATTGGTAACACACTTAAGCTATATTATTGACATTGAGACTGTACTGAATTAATGACCTTAATTATAGATGACAGCTTCTGAAATATTATCATTAGCCATCTTTCTTCATTCTACCTACAACTTTCCCAGTTTTCTTATAACTTTAATTATCAAGTTGGGTGTGGTTCATACACTTCCACCATTGCAAATGCATTTTTATCTCATATGGACAATTATCATCCACCAGTCTGTCAGTGAATTTGCCATAGTGTTTATTACACTATTGGAAGAAGTTAATATTTTATGTGATAATTCAGGATCAAATCAAGCCACTCCCAATAGGGGGGTGTTGAAAAAGGTATAGCAAATGAAAAAAACCTACTCTTGAAGAAGCTTGAAAAAGGTATGAATTAGTATTTTGGACCAATAATGTACTCTTAAAAATTGCTCATTTTAGGAATGTGAAACTGGTCAAGACCAGTAAAATCTGGAACTTAGCCCCAAACCCAGGATCTTGTTGGGTCAATTCCTTCTTTTTTTGGGGAGGGGGGGGGGGGTTGGCCTAAGCATACTCTTGAAATGGTATGAATGTCCCATAACCCCCCCCCCCCCTCTTAGGGGGATTGCCTGTGTCCTGCTAATGCACACTTTTCTTAATGTTATCCTTGTGAAGTGGGTTTGTGGGAGAGTATTGTTGCCCCTCTGGAATTTCAAACAATTTGACACCAAAAACACTGGATAGCTGACTAGAGATACTTGCACAAAGTTGCACTTGTCCTGTTATAGCCATCCCCATGGAGGCTGAAACCTTGGGAATGAACTTATACCTACAAGAAAAATGTGGTTAATCTTGAAGTTGTAAATTGATCACTGTGTGTATCTGAAATTATAAGTTAAATAAGTCATCATCTGATGTTGAACTTGTGGCCAAGTCTATTTTGAATTCATCTGAGTTATGCGGACAACACTATACTTCAGCTCAGTTTTATTTTTTGACTCAAATCATACTTTATCACTATTAGTGGAGAGATTGGCACATAAATATCCTACATGTCAGAGAATAGCACCGAGGTCGGGGGATCATGAATGAATCTTGATAGAGTTACGAGACGAGTTGTCCGCTTGGAAAGTAGGCACTGTCCGGTCTATCTGAATAACACGCCGGCGCGGAAAGACACATATGTACGTCATTCCGATAACTTGATAAGTAACAAACCAGCCGACACACACAAAATCAATAGATACAAGACGAACCATCAAAACCAAAACACTCGACAACACCTTCAAGGGCATACAAGATGGCCGACGTTCAAGATTCTACTATCCAAGAAGGTCAGGACCTAAGTTTCCAATTGTCGCTCAAATTCCGACATTCAAACTCATACTTACTCAGCTTGGGTATTCTTTCTTTGAACAGCCTATGACGACGTTAGAAATGATAAAACATCAACAAATTGGTCTGTCTCTATCATCCATCCTCTAGCACCTATGATATGACGAAACAATCCACCCAGAAAAAAAAAGAAGCACGACGCACGACGCAGAGAAGACAAGGCAGGATGACTGATCCTTTGCCCTGTATCTCGCCATTTCAATTCATACCCCGTCCGACCATGTTCCCATCTTGAATGTTGAATAATCTCTCCTTATGTTAGTCAGGCTGTTATTAAATTACGAATCAGAGCGTAGTGATAAGTTAAAACTCTCGGCTACCGGCTCAGAAGGATTGAATGAACTCAAGGACAAACTTGAAGAAGACCAAGCCTCATTCGTCTATGCTAGAATTGTTAAGCCCAATCCAACTAATCTCATACCCAGTGATCTAGCTAGATCCACTTCCACCGCGACTAACCATCCTTTCTGTTTGCTTCTACATCCCTCACCACCAGACTTACGCAAACGATAAAGAATCACAGCGACATAAGTTCATTTTAATCATCTGGATTGGACCTAAAGTCAAAGTCATGAGAAAGGCTAAGTTGAGTGTTCACAGAGCAGATGTCAAATGCGTTTTGAGGCAGTTCAGTATTGAAGTCAGTTTCGTTCTGTTTGGTCTAGTATCTCTTTCACTCGTTTTCAGAAAGAAACTTACGACAGACATTTATTCACTTTTTGAAAACAATCAGGTCCCTGCTAGCTCGGCGGAAGATTTGAATGAGGAATCCATAGTGGTTCAACTGAGAAAGGTTAATGCACTCCAAGAATGCTAGGAATCTGACCAAACAAAAAAACATGCAGATTTCATGCTAACCCGTTCTCTGATTTCCTTTCTGGATCTGTAGGCCGGGGGAGCATCATATGATAAAGCATGAAATGATATTTGCACTTTTTTCACCAACTTGGTTCAACTCGCCACCGACCCACATCTTTTCTTCTTGTTTTGGCAATCCAAGCACCTATTATTTATTTTTTTTTGGCTCCGAGTCCAAGCCGTTTGAGCTTCAATGATCAGCTTTTCTCAAACCGCGTTTTTTCGATTGATTCTCTTTCTTTTCTTTGTCATTAGTATTACAATGAAGTTTATTCCTGGACCACTTTGAACTCAATCACATGAATATATTTGACAGGCCAGCGAGGCTTAAACTCCGAGGTTGCAAATTTCTTCCTCAGGAAGATGTTGTACAAAATCTTTCCAAAAAAAAACGAATGCGATCAACGCTTTGCAATTCAAATGAATTTAAAAAATCATCCCGGCGATAGCTGGAAATCGAGAGACAGAAAACAATGGAACCCGTGGGAAAACGAGTCAGTTCGGCCAAGAAGAATGTGCCAAGGAATTGACAAAACGATAGAGCTCACCAGCCGTCTGAATTGTGGAAAAAAATCCGCATAGTAAAGCAGAGATTGCAACCCTACTGATGACTTGTTTTTTCGAAGGCACTAGACTATTCAACACTCCAATCTGTGGTTTTATTTTTTTCAGACAGCGCGTATCAACTTATGACTTGATTTCTGGTGACAAGTGGACATTCTAGGGGGAAGGGGTGATATGAATAATGAAACAGGCTTCTTAACTTGGATTCCCATGCTTCCTAGATTTGCAAATCCACACAAACCGTATATTGCAATCAATATTCCTCTCTCAGTCATATCGGGTCGCAACTTGGATAACTCTTGGTCTTCGAAACAAATTGTAAGATGCTTTTCGAATCAGCTTTACGCGGAAAATATCCAGGTATCAGGTGAGTTGACATAATGAACGATGATCACTCAACAAGCAACAAATTCATTTGTGATCAATTTTAAAGCCAGAAGTCTCGAGACTTTTAAAACATCTTGTTTGGGTGTCCCCATGAGCCACTAAATCCGCAAAGATGGATATCTTCAAAAATTCTGGAGCAATTTCCCTGACTATCATCATGAGGAGAAAAAGGTAAGCACTAGTACTCACAGCAACTGGATAAAGTATGTATTGCAGAATTAATTCAAGGGTCAGCGGGTGCGTGCCATTCGGATCCATTCCCCAAAATTGTCCAATCCATGTCAACAGGCCATCGACGGTATACAAGAGTGCAAGAATTGTCAGAAGATTGGCAAGTCTAACAATCAATCACAGATCATCAGCACAGACTTATATAATATTTCAAAAAAAATCGGAGTTGATGTTCACATCATTCCAGCCACTCTAAGACCAAGCCAAGCGCCATCCGAAAACGTCATCAGTGCATTAGTGTCTTTGCGATCGGTTTCCTCGTCTTCGGGGATGGTAACTTCTCCGGCGGTGAGAGGCTGACTGTCTTCCGGGAATCTCAGCTTACTGATTGCTAAGGAAGCTGGGATACTCATGATTGATGCTGGAGAAAATATCATTTCAAATTAATCCGTATTCTGCTGCCTTTGATACAGGATTACAAGCTCTCACCGCTGATGAGATAGACGGCTGGGATCCCCATGGCCACATATGCTGTTAAAACAGATCCTGCTATCGTCGAAAATCCTGAGGCCATGACCTGATGAATCTCAGCGGCAGTCATTCGTGAGGCGAACGGCTTGACAAATGCATTGATTCATTATCAAATCAGTGTGGATATGGGATGATTAGTGAAAGATGAATGTCCGAATCATTTATATGAAGGACAAACCCGGATCAGAATAACGCTTTCCCCCTATTAAGTGAGTAAGAGCACAAAATTCCCGAATCAAAAAGTCAATCTCTGAACATGGTTTCATTAGTGCAAACGTCTGACCTGCCCAACAAATGGTGAAGCGGCTGCAACCACAGCTTCAACGCCACTAACACCCATCAAGGTATAAAACACCCAGGCAAATTTCACCATAACAGCTTGCATGATCCCGAAATAGTCTGTTTCGTCCATTCGAACATGAAAAAATCCAAGTCATTTTCTCAGCGAAAAAATAAAGACATTGTTTATATCAATCTGGACTTACAGAGAAGTTGAACAAGCGCTATGAAGAAGATTATCGCAGATAGCGTGTTTACAACTGCAATCAATGCACAAGTAATGGACCGATCGAAGTTAATGGAGTTCACGTCAAGGTTGCATTTTTTTTTTTCTGTTTTGAATCGTAACGGAACCCTTTGAAAACGTACAAAACCAATGATTTTCGACTACTTGAGGCGAAAAGAAAAATCCGCCAGCTTTGGTACCCTGGTCTAGAATATCCGTTGCTGCTTTTGCAATCCAGTTGAAGAAATCATACCTATCAATCGATGAGAAACAGGCGCATCAGTTTTTTCTTCGAACTACAACCTGACTGTGAGCTGAGATGCATCAGCACGTTTCGTCTTGCTTGACGGAGTTTTTACATCTTCTTGCCTGAAAGGAAGTCAGATATTTACCCGGCCTTGGATTTCAGTACCACCAGCGCTAAAACCTGTTGAAGAATCAATCCGACTATGACAGTCCTCCAACGAATCAGCCTCCTGTTTTTAGATGAGGCCCTATGGTTGAGAAATTTATAAAAAAAAACGGTTTCATAGATGAGAGACGTTTTTTTCTTGCCAAAACAATAAGTAGGATGCAGAGGAAGAGAGAGGCAGACAGACCAAAAGCCGAGCTGGAATATCATCACACCAGCTAACGATCTCACCCTATCTGCATAACTGTTTCCTTGACCCAATTTGATCCCAAATATGCTGGCGAACCACAATCCGAGTAAGATCAACCATCCGATCGACAATCGGGCCCTTGGGTTTGTAAACCTCATGATTGGGTTTCCAATCAAGGTCATGTAAGTATTTCCGATTGGCCTGGCGACATATTTTGTCGGTACCCATCGAAAAATAACTGAGAGACTGGTTAGTGGATCATACTGCTTCTGAGTCATCATAGAGAAAAGACCCAACTTATCAGCAAGATCAACCAAGTCCAAAAGGTCGTTACCACCCATTTGTGTCTCGTCCTCCTTAACACAAGCCCTGATATCCACCATCCCAACAAGACAAGCACAAATACTTATTGGATAACAAAGAACATGATTTTATCAGCTCATTGCAATTTCGCAGAATGATAGTACAGGCTACTGTGAATCTAGCTAACATAAGTGGATCACCATTCGTTTGTATCGGCTCGTAGATTCCCTCTTATTCCATTGAACCAATGAAGGCCACCACTGAGGTTGTTTTCCTGTTCTTGTATCTTGTTGAGATGTGCTGTCATTCTCCACGGCGAGTGCGTCTGAGTTTGGTTTCTCTCCAGCAATGATCTGTTCTTGAGATTTAGGAATCGATTGATCGATAGATCCCTAGAGCCGGAAGAAGTGGACACACTCAGTCTAATGCGCAAATACGACCCTCCACTAGAGTGGATGGATGACAGTTGAAGGATTGCTAGACGACTGACAGCTGACGATCGACCGGTCGGAAGCGTTCCCTTGATGAACTGGCTTTGATTTTCCAACTCGTTCAAGTCCGACTGGTCCTGCTTGATTGGTTCCATCTGTATGACGCTTGATCAGCTGCAGTCTCAAAGCCAGCGAGAGCTCAGTGAGGCAAGGGATGAAGAGGTTTCTGAAGGATGACCAATGTCCGGAAGCCCGATGATAAGAGTTTTAGCGAGTATAATCAAACCGATCAGCTTTGTATCTGAAACTGGGACATGCTCATAGTTTGAGGGGGGGGGGGGGGGGTAAGTTATGTTGCTATGGCCTATCTATCTATCCCGGATGCTTTATCACACAGAAACCACTGCAGGCCGTTCAGGGCCGTCCTGCAATCCACCCATGTTGAGCTAAAAACCCAAGATGTATGCACACTCCACATCCATCGCACCAGCAAGCACTGCACACAGCAGCACGCAGGTCGGAACTTGAGGCTCGATAGGCGCATTTGAACGTGATCAAGCGAGAGTCTGCTCGGGTCTGGAGCACTATGGCTGCATCGCTAGCATGAGCATCAGACCATCTCACTTGGCTTGTGGTTACCCACATCTATACCCGCTTCCACGTTCACCCGAAAAACTCCCCAAAGTCCTGCAGCTCAGTGCAGCTCCTGCTGTGACGACGATGCTCAAAACCTCACAAGGCTATTCCTCTTGAGATAACTCAGATTTCAGCTAAGCCTGATCAAAGCACATGTATGCACCATGTGTATCAATCCACCATTACAGTCAGAGTCACCGCAAATGAAAGGAGACTGCAGAGCTTCGAAATCCAGCAAGATGCTTGATAAGAACTCAACGAATTCAGCTTCCGGTTACCCTGCTTCACAGTTCCTTCCAGGAAGCCCAATATTATAGTTCAGATAGAATGGAAGCATGTCCAACCATGGGTACGCATGAACCTCAACGAGGTGCGCTTTATAATTTACATGTGGTGCAACATTGGGTGGACCAAAAAAACTTGGCAAAGGAGGACTTAATCTGGGGCTCTGATCTCTTGATCATGGAGGCCAAGATCAGGTCTGAAAATGCCATTGAAAAATCGAAAACAAATGAAGAAGACTACATAAACCCCCGACCCCCCTGACCCAGGAATGGGGTCGGGGTCCCCTGCCGATCAAATCAACAAAAAATCGAACTTGACACAAGTCTCCAGCTGCGGGGGGCGCATCTGGCAGCGTAGCGCTGGTCAGGCGGTTCCCGAAGGGAACTCCCCGCAGGGGAGACTTGGGCCAGAGGTCAATGAACTCAGGGTCTGAGTTTCTAGTGTTTTGGTGGGAGCGTCACAAGATTTAGAATCACGACGCTCCCTCAAGACTTTGAGAATGTTTGAGAAAATTTTCTTGAAGTGCTGGATGATCTTGTCAATCTATCCAAATTTCAAAACCAGGACAGCCCCTTGTAATTTTATGATGATTTTTTAAAATCATGGTTTGAACTTTTTTTAAGCTCAAACGCGGGGTTCGCTCAACTCGAACACACCAAAAGATGTCAACTTGAATAGAAAAGTTGTCCTTTTCAACAGCTTCTGCAAAAAAAATGACAATATAACAGAAAAAAGTGAGCAGTGAGAAGTATATGGAAGAGGCAGGCCCTCCCAGGCCCAGAAGGAAATCTGATAAGTATGAATGAGGAAGGGCCTAGATGGGAAAGTACACAAAAATCCTGGTTTTTAGCCCAAATCCAAAATCTCAGCACGCGGGGATTGTTGCATTTGTCATAGGCCTCCACTGGCGTGGACAGCTCCGCTGCTCGCTAACACTCCCGCCGTGGAGACCTAGTTAAGCTCGACAAAAAATGTGTTCCCAAATGGAACTTTCTTTATTCTTCAACCATTCGCGGTAATCGTCACTCTCGAGACCGGTGAAAGTGATTGTTTCCAACCACATTCCCCAGTCAATAGTGCGATATCCCGATAGGATGATTAGGGCTGTCCGAGAGCGGAGCCAGATTATTATAGATATTTAACTGATTACAAATAAAGACGATCTAACAAGAAAACGTTGGCTAAATCGACATATCGAAAAACCAGTCGAGTTGACTTTCGCTTTGTTCGGCATTCCAGCGCACAAGGCATCGATATTTGCCGAGCACATTGATCGATGCATGCTTCGTCAGGTTCGAGTCCGACAGATCGCGTCGTGCAGCTCCTGTTGCTATAAATCGGAATGATGTTTGAGTTGAAAATTTATCACCAAGAGGAATGTGGTGAATGGTTGAAGGGTATCGGAGACGTCCGATGTTATAAAATCTTGTTCAAGACTTGTCAGGCAGATTGTCCATGAAATATGGGGTGGTCGTGTATCGGACCCAGTGCTCATGAAACAAGTCCTGACCGAATCCTTCAAGAAACGCCTGCGCCTGGCCATCTTCTTGTGGAATGTCTACTACGTGATCCTATAAGTCCTGACCAACGCCTTCAAGAAACGCCTGCGCCTGGCCATCTTCTTGTGAAAAATCTGCGAGGGGATCCTATGGGATACATAGAATAATCCGAAAGCATATCCGCTCTTGCTGCGACCGCGTACCAGGATCAGTTAAGGCACTGTGCTTGATGAATACCGAGGAGCTGTTTCGGAACGCCGAGTGCTATCAAATTCAACTGATCGGGATATCTTCCCAATCGACTGGTCAATAACTCTTGAATGAATGCATGAATGCGACGAATGCTTGATATAGAGAGCCCAAGTGTCAATAGGAAAGTCATTCTTTGCCTCAGGCTGAACCATGGTTGGCAAGGGAGGTCCTATCGACAGGATATTGGATCCTGAATAGGGGAATGAGGTCATGATGGTATGTGAACCGGGGAGAGGAAAAGAGAATGCCATGCTAGACCCGAGGCTGAATTACTTGCAGATAAGAAGTAAGTTTATCGGTCAGAAGTACATGAATAAGCCCAACCTGTCGTCCTATTGTTGAAGTTACCTCAGTATAAGCATACTCGGCATCCGGTTGTGTAGTGATATTCACAGTGGTAACCTAATCGAAACCTAATTGAGATTGTATTTAAGTAGTTACACCGTTGTACTGTTTCTACTTTTTCTCTTTTTCTCATTCAGTTTCTTTTTGCTGTTTCAACTCTCATCGCACAACCAGGTGTGCTCCACTCGTGTGAGAGCCCGCCTACTACTTCCTTTTCTTAAATGACTATAAGTTTATTCAAGAGAATAAACCGTTGTGGTCATTATTCCTGTTAATGAGGGGGAGAAAATTTCAAAATTTTATTATTTATTGAAAAGGGACCTTTATAAGAAAGGATTGTTTTTAAGACTTTTATTTTCTAAGATCGAGATACAATGATAATGATAAAACAAAGATTTCGCGATGAAGAAAGGAAAGAGAAGAGCGAACAAAGAAACAACAATCTATATATATAAAATAACCAGAATCATAAATAATGAAGAAAACTACTAGTAATAATGAATTTAAGTAAGATAAAGAATTTGAATAACAACCAACTAATAAAACTAAGGCCCCGTTTGGCAGCGTCATAAATTTAGGTGTAATATTGCCTGATTAATTCAATAAAAAATAAACCAATGCAAAATATGTTTCAACATTGTTGCTCAGGCAAGTTCAATTACTGGTTTTATCAATGCTGAGAACAAACTTGATTTCTAAGGCCATCTTGAGCCCCATAACATTGATATTACACTTTATATGGGTAAAAAGTGTGATATTGGTATTGTAGTGCTGAAGGTAGCCCATTACCTCAAATTTTTCTGTTCTAAAATTGAAATCAGTCATTGGCCTTGCCCCAGTCAAAATTGTATTACATATTTCTGAGTGGTTTATTTTACATTGAATTTATAAGGCAACATTACACTTGAATTTATGACGCTGCCAAACGGGGCCTAAAGAAAAGGTAAGATAAAGTACTGATTTATTTTGCTAATTAACTTACCATAGTTAATGGAAATGAAAAACGTTACAACTCGCCTCTTCTCATCCCAACTCTCGTGTAGTGTCTAACACTTCGTCGGTCTTTCAAAAGGTTCTTATCTGGTTTCACTTCATTTCTTATTTCATTCTCATTTTCTCTTGATCTTGAAATTCATTCAGTTTCTTTTTGCTGTTTCAACTCTCATCGCACAACCAGGTGTGCTCCACTTGTCTCTCCTCATCCCAACTCTCGTGTAGTGTCTAACACTTCGTTGGTCTTTCAAAAGGTGTGCTCCACTCATCTCTTCTCATCCCAACTCTCGTGTAGTGTCTAACACTTCGTCGGTCTTTCAAAAGACTCGCTGCGCCTATCTTTTCTATAGGTTATGAGCCCAGGGTTCTAACTCTAGGGAACGTGTATTACACACTCACGATTCAAACAACAACACCATGTCTGAAACCAAAAATCAAATCCCCGATCTCTCCAAGACCACCTTTGGCGCTTGGAAGCAAAAAGTGATCGGTTACTGCCAACAACTCGGTTTGCGAAAGTACTTGACACTCAAGGTCGCACCTACCGATGCCGCAGCACTTGAAATATACCAGACTAACAGATCCAAGACAGCTGGTATATTGGTTTCAAACATGGGGGTAACCAATTACAATCGATTCGTTACCGAGAAGAACGACGAAGATCCAGCCGCACTCTGGAAGCTTCTTACAGACTACTTTGAAGCCAAAACTCCCGGCAATCAAGCGCGAGTTTACAACGACTTCTGCACTTTCGAGTACAAGGGAAGCGATCTCACCGCCTACCTTGAGCTAGTCGATCAGCACCTCAAGCTTATGGCCTCCGTTGGAATCAAGATGGAGGGCGAAGATCGAGACATTGCTGAATCGTTCGTTGCGGAAAACATTGTTTTCAAGGCCCCATCAAAGTACGACACCACCAAGGACCTACTGCACTCGATGAGACCACTCACCATCGCTATTGTTCAAGAGACGTTCAACAATAAACGACTCGATGTATCAGCTACCGGATCAGTCACTATCAAGTCAGAAGACACCGCACTGGCCGCCTCCTCGTCAACCAAACCCAAGTCCAAGAGACGTGAATGGTGTACCGGTGGGAAGCTCAATCCCAAATCTGGTCATACCGAGAGCGAATGTCGGCACCTGGCCAACATAAGAGCGGCTGCAAAGAAGGCTCAGGCTGAAAATTCTGACGCCGGCGATTCTCAATCAACGGGAAACGGCCTTCGATGCACCATCAAAGCCTTTGCAGCAATAAGTACCCCTAACTTATGCTATCTTGA